AAACCAATGGACGGAGTCACAGTCAGCCCCTGGAGACGGCCATGTGATGATCGATAAGCCTCCATTTCATGCTCTAATTTAAAACTCACATTGACTTCACCTTCAAAACTCTTCAAAACGATGAAAATTTAATCATTTTCTAGCTTAGATTTTGAGTTTTTTGACCACCACTGCTTCGTAGTTTTTAGTTTATTTTGCTTTAACAAAATAAAAAATTAATTTTTAAAATCGAGATTACGATTGTGAGAGAGACAAAGAGAGACGAACACGCCCGCCCGTTGTTTATTTTTTTATTTGTGGTAAACTTAGATCATTCCATCCATTAGCCATTAAGTCGTAAGCTTAAATATTGCCTTAACGAACGCAAAAAACGAACTAGGCCTAAGATGTTGTATATATAATAAAATAAAATATGTGTACGAAAAATTGTGACAAAAAAGTTAATAAATAGAAAATAAAAATAATTACAATAAAGCAAAACCCCTTTTCATAAGATAACCATTATAATCAAATCCAATTAAGTAACAGCATCGAGAATAATCAAGTGCTAAAGAACTCCTTCCTATTTCTATTGGAAATAAATGAAGCTCAAAAATGCAGTTTATACATTTGCGTAAATCTGCCCTTAATTATACCCACGGTATTATATTTTAGCCAAAAGTTTAAAACGCAGTGAAGGAATCATTTCCGACCCTATGACAAACGGGGCGATCAAGGATTGTCTGAAGTAGTTTTTTAAACTTTTTTAAAATTTTATATAATTTAAAAAAAAAAGATTTAACAAAGATTTAATTTTTTTACATTTGAAATTGAGTATGCATATCTATAAATCTAATAAAAACTAAATTAGACAAAATAAGATTAATGCTTTATTGGCTTAGTTATGCAATTTTTTAACTTTGATTTGTAGAATAAAAATGTCATATCAGATTTTTAAACTTATTTATATATATTTATATTTCAATGGAAAACTGCAGGGATATATAAACTTTATAAACTTCTCTAAGCTAGTTTCCTTTCTTCTTTTTTATAAATCGCAGTAACAGATTCGGAGCAACAGACTTGGGAGACACAAATTCCCTAATTTAAAACTCTCCATTACTCATACGCAGTGTTGGCTTCTAGTGCCTACAATTAGTCAGAAGCTTATAACTTTTTAATTCATTTTTTAATGATAGCTTTAAAAAGCTCCAATTAAATGAATGAGACCATTATTACTTAAGCATATAAAAAATCGAAAAATGTTTAGAAAAAAAAAACTATAACTTTTAAAGTTTTTAACATATTTTTAAAATGAATGAGACCATTATTACTTAAGCATATAAAAAATCGAAAAATGTTTAGAAAAAAAAAACTATAACTTTTAAAGTTTTTAACATATTTTTATCCAATTTGATTCCAAGCTATAGAATTTCCTCTTTAATTTTATGAAAATCGGAATACTATATAATATAACTGCCAGAGAAACGGTTGTTATATGTAGAGGATCAGTAAGTATCTTTCAACTATGATCAGTAAATAACTCTAAACAGTAAGTATCTATGACCAGTAAGTATGTATGATCAATTACTAACTATGAGCATAGGTAACTTTGAACAGAACTTAACTATGATCATTAAGAATCTATGACTAATAAGTAACTATGATTAGTAAGTAAGTATCTATGGCCAATAAGTATGTATGATCAGTAAGTAACTTTGAACAGTAAACATGTATGATCAGTTACTAACTTTGAACACTTATAAACAATGACATGCAACTTTTGTAACACAACACATATGTGAGACTTGGCTGGGAGATGTCCCTTCGTTCCGGGGATGTTAGAACCAGTTGGGAATCATATGTACATATGTGCGACATTTGTTTTGGAACAAATTTAAGAGCAAGCTATTTGAATGAATCTATAGAGTTATTCTTCTATATAATTTTAATAGTATATAAGTCGGAGCATGGGGAATCGGTGAACTATATATATACATACATATAGCTGCCGTAGGAAAGAAAAAAATTTATAACTTTTCCAGTTTTCACCAGATTTTCATCATTTGAAATTTGAATTTGAAATATAGCACTTGTGTATTAAACTAGAATTTTATGTAGAATCTTATGAAAATCGGACTACTATATCATAAAGCTTTCATACAAACGATCGTTCAAAATAGAGGAAAATGCCGAACTGCGAATGAAATGAAAGCAGGCATTACTTTATTGTTTTTAACATAAATATATTTAATTAATATTGCATTAATTTCTAGTTATTGAATTTCGATCTGCAAGAGAATACGAAGTTAGCATCGCTTTTGTTTATTTATAGTCGCTGATTTGAAATGATTAAAATTATATATTTATATGAACCTTAATTCTTTCAAATCTGTCCTGGTTATATAATTATGGCTTATCTTCTTCCAAGCTTTTGACATTGAAAAAACAAATTGATTCCTATTCGAAAAAGTTTATTGGGTTTGTTTTTTATGCAAGACACGCACATACACCAGAGAGAGAGTGATTGTGAGAGAGAGAGATTGCACTTTCCCACTGGATCCGGTGAGTGGGCGAGAGTGTTGCCGGAGCTAGTTTCCGAGCTTAAATCGAACCTTTTTATAAATAAATTTAAATTAAGCCAAGCTTTCTCACATAAATACTGTGAAACGTATTCTCCTTATAAAATAAATCGTACATATACCAAATACTAAGTTACTATAAAACATTTAAATCGGCTTAATTTAAGGCTAAAAGATAGATGATGATTTTATAAGCTTTTCCCTCATTTTGGGTGAACTAGATCCGGCCCGAAATAAGCTTAACTGTCATCCCTGGTGTGGGCGAGCATAGAGCAGAGAGCGAGGGAGAGTAAAATGAGCAGAGAGCGGTGCGCTTGAGCTTGTTTTGTCAAATTAAATTTGTAGTAGCGCTGCTTTGCGCCATTCATCGTTCTTCACTCGCCGCTGGTTTTCCTCGATGTTCCCCAAACCAAAAAACCAATTACCAACTTGTGCAAAATATACTACACCAAAAAATTAGCAAAAACAACAAAATCTGTAATTAAAAAGAAAACAACAGAAAAAAAACCATCGAGCGAGCGATACAAGTAAGTTTTGTTGCTGGACACTAACTGTGCCCGTGTATGTGCGTTCAAGTGCAAGTGTGCGAGAGAGAGTGAAAATCCTGCTGTTGAAGTGAAGTTGCAAGCTTGCGTGCTAAATTTAGACCTCAAGCTGAAGGCTGTGCAACACAGAACACACCACCACCCCCCACCGCCCACCGCCGCCCACACCAGTGTCCTCTCTGCAAAACTGTCGCCATACGTCAGACGCGCGCTCTCCAGTCCAGCGCTCGCGCGAGTATGTGTGGTATGAATGGAACAAAAGTACTTAGACTTAAGCGACGTGTATTTGTTGATAAGAGGGGGAGGCAACGGTGGGTGGCAGTTTATGCGTGTATTGGTGCATGGATGTATGTATGTATTTGTGGCACGTAGACTCGTAGTAAAATTTTCCGCGTAAAATTGAAAGCAAATTGAAAAGCTCACGAGGGAGCTCCTGCAAAATGCTAAAAACCTTGCAAAAAAAATATTAAAAAACTATTTTAAAAATTCTAAAAAATGTATCGGACTGAAATTTATAAAATCTAGTGAAAATTAAGTGAAAAAGTGAGAAAAGGTAAAAAAAAAATGCATATTCAATAATAATTTAATAGTAAAAAAGGTGCAGTTCGAAATATTAAACCAGAAACACCTCAAATTATATAAAAGTGGCTGCAAAATTACATGGGTCGAAAATCCCAGTCGAGAGTTGCCGAAAAACCAGTTCGTGCGTAGTTTTCCATGTCATGTTTTCCCCCAAAACGAGCTCCAAACAATTTCCCATATCATCCATCGTTGCAACGAGTTTCGCACGCTTCGTCTTATTTCACATTTTGCACCGTTGTTGCTCTCCGCTTTGCTCTGCTGCCACACGTTACTACTCACAGATGGATGTATTCATACATATATGTACATCTATGTACATATGGATAAGTGTATAGACATATGGACATATAGGCACAAGGAATAGGCAATAGGCCTGCCACAACCTGCTTCTTCTTCCGTCTATAAATACCAAGGTGCGCGACGAAAGTGTAATGTCCCTACATAAAGTTCAGTAATTGAGACGTTGAGTAGTTTTCTCAATAAATTATGAAAATCAAACAACAGAAATAATATTATTTGTGATCTTCTAACTAAATTTCCAAGTTATTAAAGTAACCCTACACTTTTGCTCGGCACCTTATCGTATCGCTGTTGGAGGCACGAGTTGAGCGCGCATGTACAAAATCGAGCAGCAGCACGACCCCCTACCCCCTCCCCCATCCACCTCATTCTCCATGCGCTCCCACATGGGCATCGCATCCAAACCGAAGTGTAGTAAGTGCACTTTGGTGAGCGCGACAGGGTTGCCAGAGCGACGTATTTTTTGCACAATCACTGGGTGGGAATGGGCGAAGAATTCAATGAATGGGAAAAACAAAACTGCACACAAAAGAAACTACTCGGCCGCAAGAAATTTGCTAGCAATGTTAATTCGAGTCGCTAATTACAGCACGTACAATTAATTACAGTGCTCAACTTTGTAATCAAAAACAAGCCTGCCTGTATGGTTTTGTAATACGATCGGACTCCATAGTGCATTATTTTACATTTATATTTTAGAATGAAATCTAAACATTTATCTCAATAATATAATTAATATTATAGCTAAAGCTATCATTTTTAATATTTAATAAGTTCGTTATCCTGCAGTTGTACCTTGTAGTCATTTCTTATTATAATTACTACAAGTTCTCGGACTATAATCAATAGTAGCGATAAATAATTCAAATGTAATAATAGGTAATAACTCGAGGAAGTTAAGTCGTTTCCCTGCCCATCTGGTAACCCTGGAAATTGCAACTGAGAAGAGTGTGGGAGGCACATGGTGGAAAAAAAAATGGAAGAAGAGAGAGGCAGGAGCTCTCTCCAGCGCCAGCGCCAGCGCAGAGCACAGATTTGCAGAGACATTGAGACTCTGTTGCCTTGCCACAGCGTGCGCAATAAGTTTTCAGTTGGAACGCAACTAGCCGGTGACGCGAATGGGCCTTAGAAGCTAAAGACTCACGGGGCACATAGTAACGTAGTAATCAGCAGAGCCAGCAGGCGTAGGCGGATCCAAAACAGTTGCACAACTGCACTTTTTTGCTGCTGGAAATCGGAGAAGTGCGCGCGGCGGATTACAGTAAACGTGAACGTCAACTCGGCGGCTAAAACTTCGACGGGCTAAGAATACGCGGACGCGAACACGACGTTAACACTTTAATGGCGGTGCAGCGGTGTTTCTTTTAATTTCGCGTCTGGCTTCCGTTGTTCCCGTGCCAAAAAAAATCAATAATTCCGTGCTGTATAAGTTACGGCGAAAGGTGCGCGGATATTCTGAAACTCGGGACTCGGCTTTCGGATTTTCGTCGGCTCTCTCTCACCGTCGTTACCGTTACTCGCTAACTACGGAAAATACAACCAGCCGAGAGAGTGTGGGCGACAAAGAGAGAGAGAGAGGGACAACTTACAACTACAAGTGAGAGAGAACGTAAACGTGATTGAAATTTTTGCACAAAAGAGAAGCGCCGCTTACGCTTTACACGCGCGCCAAAGCCTGCCCTGCAGTTGTGTAAAGACCACGGGAGAGAGTGCCAGTGATTCAGGAAGCGGAATCAGAAAACGAAGTAGCGCGTAAAAATAACAAACAAAAATACATGCGGAGGCGTATAAATAGAAACAGCGTGTAGAGCGCAACGGCAAAAAAGTCAGTAGTATGTAGTAATAGTAGTAGAAGGAGAAACCGGAGGAGACAGAACATCCAAGTCGACTGCGGCGCCGGCGCCGACGCGGACGCGGACGCTGACTGCGACTGCGACGTCGTAGTAAGTTTTTCTGCACTCTGTCTGTGTGTTTGTGTATTTCGCGCGCGTGTGTGTCGGTGTTTGTGTGTGCTTTGCGTGGGTGCAACGTCGTCTACGCACATAGCGTAGAATGTGGAATAAATAAAAGTCCGAAGAAGAGGAGCTGTGGAAAATCATGATAAAGTTTGTCAGGCAAAAGAATCGCGAAAACTCACTAAGGGCATCCAAAAATTTTATGCGAAAAAAGGTTGGATTCCAATTATTTTAACATTTTTGAGATCTAAGACTTTTTTAAGATATAAATACTTGGGAATTTTCCCCCTCCGCATTATCTTTTTTCTTGTCTTAATGTTTCATTTCTTTTGCAGCGTGAATCGAATGACTCTGGCACCGAATCTGATGGTGAACTCCTCGATGTGGAAAACCAACGTCACTTAGACGTGGATATGGAAACTAGTAAGTTTGAGGCCAGAAATTCCGCACAGAAGATAAAAACATATGGGTTAAAGGCACAAAATTATTTTCTCAAGCCTTTTTCTGGATGAGTTTAAAGCTATTTATTTATTCTGTAATCGGATTTCAACTTAATAATCAAACTCACCTTTTCGTAGGTGTTGCTGGCCAACAAAAGTCAATCACTGCTCCTGCAATGATGTGTCACCAGCCGAACTCATCCTCATCCTGCGCCCATCTCATGTACGACCAGCACAGTTCCGAGGAGGAGCTCGAGGTGATCAACGGGCCGTCGTCTCAGGCAGGACAGCATCCCGGCGGAACGGCGACGACGAATGCGGCGATAGCGGGTGGTGGTGGCGGTGGTTCCTCCTCATGCACATCCAGGATCTCGAATCGGGGCTGCAACTCTTCGTTGGACACAGAGGCACCGCCATACGAGGAGCGTGCCACAACATCCTCGAATTCAAAGCGCTCCACCAGCTCCACTCTAATGGTGGAGAATCGTAAGCGTTCGCTGGCCCATAGCTCCGATGATGAGGTGGGTTATAGTCCATTCCTGTTAGAACTACCTTCTCTATACATTTGTATATCCCCTTTATAGCTTCGCAACTCGCTGGAGCCCATATTGACGCCCGTGAATTTTCGTACATCGCCGCCATTGGAGGCATTCAAGCCAAATCGTAGCCATATGATGTTCCGCTCCACAACGCCACTGATATTATCGGAGGCCCGTTGTGGCATCGAAAATATTCAATTATGTGATAATAGTGTTAACGAGGAGAATGGCGGCGGCGACTCAGGAGCAGGAACAGGAGCAGGAGCAGCAGCAGCGGGAACGGGAGCTGGATCAGAGGCAGTGGGAGCAACTAACAAGTGTGCCAAGATTGGCACCGCATCTGGGAATGGAGGCAATGAGAACGAGCCAACAACGAGCGTGATTAAGGCGTGCAGCAGCTCCCTGAAGATGAGCAATAGCAGCCATCACATTTATCAGCCGCAGCCCAAGTATAGTTTCCACTACAATAGCTCGAGAAGCAGTCCGGCAAGCACCACGGGTCTGGATATGGATATGGTTCGCTCGGTTAGTCCGCCAGCGAAGCTCTTTCATTGCGCCATATCGCCGCGAAGGCGACCTAGCAGTAATAATGCCAGCGGCGGGGTAGGATCATCAGCCACAACAACGACACAAAATGCTGCCAACTCCGGAAACGGAAATGCCGGAAACGCCGCCGCCGCCACACAGAGACTGCAGCGACCGCATCGGCCGTGTTTAGATTTTGATAAGATGCAGCAGGTGAGCCTCTAATGCAGAGAGCGCTAAAAGCAAGGAGTTCGGAAGCGGATCGGGATGGAGGATGAGGATGAGGAGAAACCGGGGAAAATCAAAGACTTTTATACGAAAAACACAGCAGAAAACTGCGATTCGAGAAGAGCAAGAGTACCTAAGGATTGAGGTATGCCTCCAGAGAGAACTCCCCAGAGAGCAGAAAGCAGCAGGAGAACGGAGAAGAAGGAAGATATATCATCAAATCAAATTTAAAAAATATTTAAAAAAGGTAATTCACATTTTAAAATACAAACCAAATTAAAAGAGAAACCACTAAAATTTACAATAGAAAAGCAACAGCTATTTTTTCACAACTTTTAAGCCTAAAGAAAAAAGTATAAAAAAACATGACAGAAGAAGGATAGATAGAGAGAGAGAGAGAAAGAGAGAGGAAAGCAGGGAAGAAAGCTTGAGAAGGCTGTAAAAAAAGCTAAGGATATATAGGAAGGACTCACTTGCTAATAGGAGAGAAGATTAGAAAGCTCGATGTAAAGGAGTTAAAGAACAAGATAAAGCTGAGATTTAGATTGTAAACGAAAAAGAAATCCAGTTCTGTGTAAACTGTATATATTGTGTATTTGAAGAATTTTTGAAGAATTGGCAAGCCATCGATAGAAGAAGCACAGAAGAAGGATTAAGATCGAAAAGAAAGTATTTTAATTTTTTTAAAACTGATTGATATTGACAGAAGACTCGAAAACTTGAAAGAGAAAACAAAATTATATTTCTATTAACTGAAAAAACAGAAAGGGGAAAAATGAAAGTAGGAAAGTGAAAAGGAAGGGAAAATGGAAGAACAAATAGCAACGGCAAAAAAACAAAACAAAATGTGAAGCAACAATAGCAACTGAAAGATTATTAAAGAAACACAAACTTTTGTATCAAATCGAAAGCCGAAGGTAACTGAGGTCGCTGCGACGACAGTTTAAAAACAGTTAAATATGTGTTTAAATGTACAACATAAAATAGCAAGCTATTTTATAAACAATATTCAATTTAATCCAAACAATTAAGAGAAAAACCAAGAAAACAAAATACGAGACAACAAAAAAGAAAAAACAAAAAAGCTGCCATCAACATTCATACATTAAAGCTATTCAGTTTTACCAATATTGATTAATTGATTGATTGATTGATGATGATAAACGCAACAATTAAACAATTGGCAAGTGTAAACTTTTCTTTGTCAAAGCAAAAACGAAAGAAAATAAACCCAATATTCAATTCCATTAAAAAAACCAAATAAAAAGCAAAAGAATACTAAAACCAATAAATGTGTGCATCCATAGCAAAAAAGCAAAAGAATTAAGCAAAAAAAATACATTTTTAAGTACCATATATAAATATTAAAAGCAAGCAAAGAATATTCAAAACTAATTGCTAATTTTAAATCATATTTAGTATTTCCGTATGGAAAGCCGACGAAATTTCAGTTAACGCCAACAACAAAAACGTAGTCAATGGTATTTGATAATTTTTTCTCTCAATAATCATCTCTAAAAAAACGTTTCACAGAATCACACCCAACAACACTCAAAACATTCAACCTACCAAAAACCAAAACAAAAACAACAGCATAATCCACACCACCAACACACAGAATATATATATATAATATATGCATAATAATAGCGATGAGATCGAAGAGAACCATCAGGCAAAGTTAGGATCGGGCTGGGAGCAGAAGTGTGACGGAGTGATCATAGAAAGGATACTGAATAACTGATAACTAGAAATGCAGTTTTCATAATTTTTAAATTAATTAAGAGAAGGGGAAATGTATTATCGGTGGGGCCACACAGAAATCGCTTTCTTACAAGTATGCAATGTAAAACCCTTTCGAGGGATGTACGATTTCTGTGGCCACCCCTGATATATGTATCAATGTATAATGATGATGATGTAAGCTGAAGAAGCGATGAAGAAGCGGGGAAGATAAGATATCAATGGACTGAGCGTTACATTAAAGCGTGGACGTGGAGAAAGCGGCATGTGAAGCAAACCCAATACTAGGATTTTAGTTGATAAGTTCTTAAGTTCGTGGGATGAAAAACATTGTGAAAAAAACGGCTAACAAATATGGAAAGCACACACAAAATCTATGATTTATGTTGAATATTTTTCTGAGAGAAACAAAACAAAACAAATACATGAAAAACTAAGAAAAAAAAAACGGATGAAACAAAACAAGAAAAAAGAGAAAAACAAAACTTATGTTGTAAACAAAAAAGGAAAAGAAAAACAAAGATTTCATTGTGTTGTACATAGTTACATTAATTAACAAACAATATATATTTAATATATATATATATATATATCTTACTCATTAACTATTAAGTCGATGAACGGTACAAGTGCAACAAAAAACAAATGAAGAACAATTTGAAAAAAAGAAAGAATAATGAAGACAAGACAAGAGATGAAAAAAAAACATGAAAAATAATAAAGAAATGCTCTGCAAAATAGAAGTATTTTGGAGTAAACGTTTTTATTTTGGACAACGTGGGAAACCCTAAATGTATTCAAAATTGATTTAAATTAATTTCCTTTCAGTTTTAGCTTTCAGATTTCTTTGTTTTAGTTTCATTATTTAGATACTATTCTTTTAGCAACGAAATTCTAACAATTTGAAAATAGTCCATAGATGGAGAGAAAGTTCCTGGCTCTTAAGCTCTCTCTCTCTCTCTGGATTTGATTTATTTCTTATTTCAAAATTTCATATGATCTTATTGCTTATATTACCCTTTCTTATATCCATATATTTTTAAAATTTTATCTTTAATATTTGTATCCTTAAGCTCTCTAAAACAGCTCTTCATTTTATTTCTGTTCTTTCGTGGGAATGCTTGTGCATTGCAGGGAATACGTGAAAAAAGGCATTCTCTTAAATGCGAGCTCTCTTTCATATATTATATTACCTTTGCTTTATTTCTTTAATATTTACTGTTAAGTCTTATTTGCGACGCCTTAGAATTCTTACTTAAATTCTCACTTAAATTCCATTGGTTTATTTACAATTATTTTACAAATATCTAATTTCTACTCTAATGAAACCTTGGCACAGTAGAGTGGCTATGAGCCCAGTATTTCTCGCTCAGACTTGTGATTTTGTGTGTGGTTGTCGTCCTGATCCTGTAATTTAATATTGCATGCAGCTGTGGGAGCAGCAAGCGCTGCCTTCTCCTTCTTTTTCCCCTTGTCCATGGCAGCATGCCCGTTTCTGGCGGGATCATGGATGCGGGAATGTCGCTTGAGATCACCCGATACCCGGAATTTCTTCTCACAAATCGAACACTCGTAGGGTCGCTCCCCCGTGTGCACTTTAATGTGACTCAACAGGTAGGAACTGGCGCGAAAGGTTTTCTCACAATACTGACAGGCATAGTTCCTCTCGCTGGTATGAATTCTCCGATGAAGGACGAGGGAATATCGCCGGGAGAAGCTCTTGCCGCAGAATTCGCACATGTGCGCCTTAATGTCGCTGTGCCGGGAGATGATGTGATACTTGAGATCGCCCCATTGCCGGAATTTAAAGTCACACTTTTCGCATTTAAATGGCTTCACGCCGGAATCTGTAATGGATGAAAGTGGGATTAGAACTCCCTTGAGATGACAGAATAAGATTCCCTAAACTCACGTGTTCTTTCATGAGCCTTGAGGGCACTCTGTGTGTAGAAGGATCTCTCGCAGCTTTCGCATTTGTGGGATCTCTGTTGGTTGTGCGTATATTGATGGTACTTCAGGGCATTATACGAGTTGAAGTCGCGACTGCACTTGTCGCAAAAGTGCTTTCTCCTCGCCTTTCCGCCCGTATCCTCTGACAAACTGCTGTCTAGACCCGGCAACGAGAAGCTCTCTTGGTGTTCATCAGTCTCATGGTGATCGCCTTCGTCTTCGTCGAAGGGCGAAGGTGGCCTGCTGTCGTCCTCCTCCAATTTGTAGCCTTCGTTTAACATCAAAGGAGAACGACGAAGTTGCTCAATGGAGGAGTTGGTGTTGGGATGAGTATGGGAAGGTAGAGGTAGAGGTGGAGGTGGTGGAGCAGGAACGTGAGGCGATGGCGGCGCCACTAGCAAGGTCTGTTCCATATCCTCGCTAGGCTTGGCCAAAGGCCTCTCCATTTTGTTATCCGTCTTGGGGACTCCGTTCTCGGAACTTAGAAAATCCAACTCTATGTGCGAGTTTTCCTTGAGCAAGGCAGGAGCTGTGGAAGCTGAGGCCGACGACGACGGTGGCGGTTCTCCCGGCAACAACAGCGTCGGAAATGTGATGTACCTAAAGTTATTGTTAAACCAAGGTGCTGTCATTCCACTGGAGGTTAGCTCCAGATCCACAAGCTCATCGCAGGTGTCCTCTATGGACACCTTGTCCACCACATTCCGTATGCCCTCTAGCATGTCCTCCGTGTCGCTAAACTCCACATCATCATCCACTGCCACGGGCAAGGGATTCGGTGTAGCATTCGAGTTGACCACGACCACAACGGGACTGAGTTTATCCGTTGCCTGGCCAGGCAACACCATATCGACGCCCACATCATTGGCCACAACATCGTCGTCGTCGTCATCTTCGTCCACATGGTGATGATGGTGATGATGGTGACTGATGTTGTGGAAGTTCTCAAAGTTTAGTTGGACATCGTGAAAGACTTGGTCCAGTTTGGCTTGTTCCTGTTGGAGCTGCAAGCAGGAAGGGGAGGTTTAGAAAAGGGATTTTTGTTACTCCAAAAGTCAAGACTTACCTTATCCTGAGCGGATAAGCCGCACATGTCCAGTGGTTCCTTCTGGAGCTGCTGTTGATGATGATGCTGCTGCTGCTGCTGCTGTTGTTGTTGAGGATGGTGATCCTGGACAACCAGTCGCTGCTGCTCCGTGGGCTCATAGTGCTGCTTGAGATGGGCAAAGAAATCCAACTGCGTGTGCACCGCATATCCGCAGATCTCACAGCTATAGAGCGCCGAAGAGCCCGGCACATCCGGTACATCCTCCTGCACAAGCTCTTTGTGCTGCTGCTGCTGCTCCACAAGCAGATCGTTGTCCATGTTGCCCTTGAGCTTCCTGGAGATGCGCTTCTTGTGGGGCAGCACCTTGCGGGCATTCATGCAGGCGGAAGAGGCATACAGCAGCTCCTCGGTGGCCACCACATCCATGATGGGCACTGGGATGGGCTCAATGTTACCCAGAGCGGGAAATGCGGGCTGTTGGTTAACTTCCTGCTGATGGTTAACCTGATGCTGCTGCTGCTCTACGCTTTCCGGGGAGGATGAGGATTTGTTTACGAACTGGAAAATAGTGTTTAGGGATTCCGGTGTCAGAGTGTCCTTGATCTCCACATCCGCGTAGGTGGATCCCGTAGGATGATGACTCCCGTGTACGGCATTCGTGCTGAGATTGGTGGGTCCTTCCGCCTTGTAGGTGTGATCTATGAGATCCATTATAAAGTGATTCGGATCTCGCATTAGCTCCGTAGCAAGAAGAGACTATTTTGTATGAAAGATTATGGGAAAGACAGGTTAAATCTTGTCTGTGCTTCTTGGGTTGTCTTAAAATTCGTTACTTACGTGATCCATGAATTGTTGGTCCACTTCCTTGCGCTCCATTTTGAGTGATTCTTGTTTGGAAATTCATTCAAGATGGAAAATGGGTTATAGCTTCGGTTTTCTCCCAACTCTGTTGCTCGTTTTGTTTTCCGAAAGACCTCCTTCTCCTATGTATACTCTTTTTTCTTTTCTTAATTAATTAATATTTATTTGTTTGGAGTAAATTGTAATTTTACCAATTTTCAATTCTTTTTATTGGTGGAAATTTCTAAATGCAGTTTAAGTGTTGATAAACGTTGGGAGAATATCAGCTGTTGCTGTTATGTTAAACATAGAGCAGAGTTTACAGCAAGCAGTGCAGAGAGAACTGCTTGAGGGCTGTTGAAAAAGAAGCGCGATATTTGAAATATGTTTGTTATCACTAGAGAAACTACTAACTAGTAAGTACTTTAGAAATTAATAATTCCAGCTTAATTTTTTGCTCAGTGCTTGCTTTTTGTAAAAAAAAACCTAATAACACTGTGAATCATTTCCGACCCTATAAATCATATATATTCTTGATCAGCATTAACAGCCGAATCGATCTAAACTCCTCTGGGAGATAAAAAAATTTACACATTTTTTTTTTACAAATTTTGTCATTTTTAAATGAAAAAAAATGGGAAAAAATTAAATTTATTTTCATTTTAAACTGCGTATGCAGATTTATTAACTTAATAAAAACTAACATAGGAAGTCTTTCGTAATGGAAATTAATGAATTTTTGGCAAAAAATGTCACATAAAAACTTCGATAAATATCCATTCAAAGAATATGAATATTTAAAGCATAGAGATTATATATTTCCTATTCAATACATTAAATTATTTGCAAGCCGAAAGAGTATATCATTCTTGTTATCTTATAAAGCTAATATTTACCTAATAAAATAATTATTTAGTAAATATTATCTAACAAAGATTTATATATTTCCTTAAGTGTGAGCATTTTTGGAAATATCAAATTCTATCACACATTATATCAAGAAAATGCTTAAAACTGTTTAAAATGCTAAGAATTCTCGTACATCCCAAAGTGTTTGTTATGATTTATAGGGAATCATCTCTCATTCTCTCTTTATCAAACATCAAAGAGTGGTTCTAACCCCTTCCCAGACTTGTCAATCGCATCGCTTAAGGTGTTCCTTGATGGACTCCCTCTCGTAGAGATTCCATCTCCCAGAGATTCCTCCTCCATTGTTATTGTTATGATTCATGGGAATTCGTGTGCATAATTTTCCCGATCCGAAACTTGTATTTATTTTTACGCGGAGAAACCTCTCTGGATGAGTCAGAGAAGAGATCAAAGCTCTCAAACATAAATGTGTGTGTGTTCGATTGTCTAATAATTGTTTATTAAACATTAATAGCATTAATAGTTGCTAAGCAGCAGCCGTGGCTCGTCACTTGAAATTGTTCATAAAATTTTATAGACCTCTTGCGGTTGAAGTCGAGCCTATAAATATCGCGGGAGTGGAACATATGTTCCAACCACTGACTCCATCTCCCTAAGCCCCCTCTGATCCCTTTACCATAAATATGTTGATATATCACTGAGCAGGATTAGCTTCCTGTTTGCAGCCATATGGAGATTGGGGGATTGGAATGAGGGGAGAATCGTCGTGGATTATGTGCCACTTCAGACCTCACTGGGAATATACATTCATATATGAAGTGTTAATGTGTTAAGGGAAATATATATATATATATATGCCATGAATGTTTATTGCTCTGTTTGTTGTTGAACTTTATGTTGCAACCAATTGGTGAAGCAAATTAGGGAATTTTTAGGAATTTTCAGGGGAGAAAAAGAGGGTGAGAGCGAGCAGCTATCATTTGTAAATTCCACCGTATGGCAACAGATAATTAGTTAATTTTATATTAATTGGACTTAGATTTGTGTTTAGGGGAAGAAAGTAAATTAATTTAAAATTAATTAGACCTATTTTTAGACTTGGAACAGTATTTACTATAAATATTTATGTTATCTATTTAATTTAATATTTATTAAGCTTAGTTTTATCTTAAGAAGCATTTCATTACCTTTTATTTTTGAATATACATTATTTATATATTTTACTTAGTTCATTTACTATTTATTTTAGCCTAAATAATTTATATAAATTTTATATATCAGTTAATAAATTTTTAATTTAATTTTTCTTGAGATTATCTTTCCACTTTTTATTTCCTTACTTATTTTGAACTACAATTTCCAAATGTTATTTTTTGCCCATAAGGGTTTTTTCCTTTTGTTGCCATTCTATTGCCACTCCTTCAGATTGCAATATTTTCTTATAAATATTATTTTTTCATTAAGAGAAAAATGCAAATTGTTTACCTTTTGGCTCACACATTAGCAACGCCCACCTACCGGCAGCAGCTGCCCACCAGAAATCGAGATTTATTCCATATTCTACCTGCCTCCTATGTATATCTTTTGCGGCTTCGTTTGTTTATTTTTTCGAGCTACCAACCAAATTTTTGTTTTGTTTGTTTTTGGTTTATCGCTTTTCCATAAATTCTATAATAAATAAATAGCAACAAAAAGAGAAATTTTGCTTTTGTGGTTTTCAAATATTTTTCACAAATATGCAAAGTCAATATTTATTTATGGCGAAACAAAAACTAAATATAATAACCTCCGTGGGTGGAAAAGGGGACTGCTATGGTTAGTTTCTGGGAAAAGGATGTTGATATTTTAGATTTCGGATTAAGGATTTTCTTTTTAATGATTTTAAGAAATTTATGAAATAATGATGTACTCTACATATAAGTTAATTAAAGATGTTTTAGGTATTTAAATATATAATAAAAATATAATAATAATTTTCTTAGCTTAGTTATAAATTAAGCAATGATTTCCCACCACTTTCTTCTCCCCGCACCTTAAATAAATATTTCCCACTTGATTTCTTCTCTAACAATCCTTGGCTCAGCTCGTTAGACAAGTTTTGCGCAATAAAAAAGAATAGAAAGCTGAAAAAAAGGACTGCGGCTGACAAGGTTTTTCATATACACTTTGTTACATTTTGGTATATATGTATGTACAATACATAATGCCATTATTATTATCATAAGCGTGCTTTTTTGTGGATACAACAAAAGCAGCAGCAGCAGCAGCAGCAGCAAGTAAGTTTTTTTTTGTAAAAAACACACAACACGGACGCTAGGAAGGACCCCTGAAAATCGGGCAGGAAGCGCATGCAAGTGCCCAAGTGCCTTCTTTTGTTCTTCGTCACGTACTGCGGTGCCTGTTGGCCCTCCTCCGGAACAAAACCACCTTACAGCTGGGGGGAGGAAGGACCAGGAGGAGGTGGAACCAGGAGCCAGGAGCCAGGACCAACCTACCGCAGATGCCTCGAGTTTTTGCGCAGAAGAGGAAGCGGAAACAGCCACAAACAGTAGTGGCGACAACAACATCATCGAGAGCGGTTCGATCGCTGGAGAGCTTTACCCATACCCTGGAAAATAGAGGGTATATTGGTTACTCCAAACATTGGGGAATTTGTGAATATTTTTTGTTGAATATTGAAAAGGTTTTATGGGAATCTTTAGAGTAGGATAAGAAGGTCCATTATCCATGTCTCCATATTTTTTTTAAATATTATTTTAGAATATTAATTATTATTATTTTTATTGAATACTCATAGTTTCATGTATATAACACTTTATTATTTTTAAATAAGTAAGTACTATGTTAGTGGTATTAAATTTAAGGAGGGTTTTATCCTGATATTAACAGAGTTACTTTTTTTAAGAACTCCTAAATTCCGTATCGATAGAGTTAAGTTAACAGCAAATTTAAAGAACAAACTTTGAATCCCTGAGAATATTTTCTAGAGATTGAGGATCTTATTAAGAGATAACTAAAATTCGTTTAAAATCTTTTAAATATCAGAAAACATGTTTTCCCTTTTTTAATACCCATTGTTTCTTTGTTGTTGTGGCCTCTTCGAGTTTTGTCGCCTTGCGGGGTTCAAATTATAAAACAAAAGCTACAAAATGTAGGCAAAATGCAAAAACAAACAGCCCCAGAAAGGACCGCCTTGGAAAACCCCCATTTTCCAAACCCTCCTTTTCCATTTCCACTTTGCTGTTGGTGCTGGCTGCTGCATAAATATTGTCGGAAGCAGTGCTTTTTGTCTGGCTTTTCCGTTTTCCACTTTTTTTTCCTACCCCTCAAAAACTTTCCCATTCTCTGCTCACGTTTTTTGCCTTTATTTTTGTTGTTAACATATTTTGTGCTCATCTCAGCGAAAAATCTGTTGACGCAATTGTCACGTGCTTGCCTCAGTCCGTGTCCTGCCAAAAGGATGATGCTTTCTACATAGTTTTTTTTAATGAAAAAAACATGGTCCTTGCCTCGTGCCACTTTTGTCTCGTGTCTCTGGGCTTTGAGATCCTGCTCCTGCTCCTTCGTCCCCTCCATCCTTAATCCTTGAGTGCAATGCGACGGCGTACAAGTGGCGATGCTGGCATCTCTGATTTACACTTGTTCCCCTCCACAAAAAAGGACATTATGTGGTGGTTAATGTGGATAATTTTGGGGAAGGATGTGGCAGGATTGTGAGCTTATCTAGTTCTAAGTGTTGTGTAATTAATGAGATTATTTTTAATTGCATCCTTTGAGGTGAAAGTGTTGTGTGGTTAATGGGGAAACATTTTCACGGATGCTTGTTTTATTAAAGGGTTAATCCTGATAAGCTTAATAGTAATTATCAAGATTTTAATACATTTATTAAAAATTTGAGAAAAAAAAAACAAACAAGAAAAGTGCAAATAATGTCACTTATAATTCCCAAGTATGAATTCGGTGACCAGTTAGTTTCGAATTTTGCAAATTAAAAGGCTTGACTTGAACTTGAACTAACTACAACTTTCATATATCATTAATATAAGCCTAAAATATTTAGGAAATTATTTTAGAGGCCCCTTTTTATTACTCTACTAAAATATGTGCACATGTGTTAATAAATAACGACTTGTTCCAACATTCAAAACTCACACTTTTTGAGTCCCCACCGCAGGCAAAGCCACCAAACTAATTAAGGAAATCTCCCGCTTCCTAAAGAGTCCTGTTCCCCTTTTTTTAGAAATATAAATAATAAGCAAAAGTGAACCAGGAATCGACCCGCTACCCCGCTAGGCTTGCACACGCCCTGCTCTACCTTTTCGCCAATCTGCCCGATATTCGAAAGCAAAGGACACACC